AGAAAATAATAATGATAGACCCAGGATCTCCTGTAGCCCAGAGTGGCCTCCAACTTGCTCTGTTACTATACTGCTTAGTTTCTTGTCAACTTAGCAGAAACACAAGGGTGGCCTGGGAAGGGGCCTCGGTAGAGGAACTGCCTCCATCACGTGGTCTGTGGGCACGTATGAGGCGCATTTTTTGATTAGTGATGGGTGTGGAAGAGCCCAGCCCACTGTGGGCAGCTCTAACCCCAGGCGAGTGGTCCTGGGCTGCATAGGGAAGCGAGGGGAGTGAGCCCAAACACCTCACAGAAAGCAAAACGGGACCACAAGGCCTGCCTTGGGATTCCCCTCCCTTTCTTTTCCCATAAGTCATCGCACTGGCTGTGTGTGCACAGAGTCATGGTTTCCAAAAGCAAGAGCACGGGTGATGGATGAATTCTGAAAACCTGCACTGTATCCAGGTCAGGCCAACACGGCGATGTTAGTCACTCCCTCGTCACTCAGTGTAGTGTGTAGCTTATACTTTCATTCAAGAATCTCTCCCCCTCTCTCCCTCTCTCTCTCTTACACACACATACACACGCCTCAGGAACTGTCTTAGGGTCACTATTGCTGTGATGAAATACCATGACCAAAAGCAGCTTGGGGAGGAAAGGGATTATTTTGCTCACCTTCCACGTCATCAAAAGCGGTGGGAGCACAAACTCAAGCAGGGGAGGAAGCTGAAGGCAGGAGCTGATGCAGAGGCCATGGAGGGTGCTGCTCACTGGCTTGCTCCCCATGGCTTGCTCAGCCCTGTTTTCTTAGAGAACCCAGGACCACCAGCCCAGAGATGGCTCTGCCACAGTGGGCAGGGCCCTCCCCCACTGATCACTAATCCAGATAATGTCAACAGCCGGTTTATGGAGGCATTTTCTCAATTTAGGCTCCCTCCTCTCCGGTGGCTCTCGCTTGTGTGAATTGGCATGAAACTAGCTAGTGGGGGTATGACGGTAGAAGAAGGAGCAGAAAGATGGAAAGAGGCAGAGAGTCTTCTCGACCCTGAGCTGGTGAACTTACTGAAGCTTTGGCTGCCTGCAGAAGATTCAAACCTGATCAGACCAGTCAATATTCCATCATGGAGGAGAAGGGCTCATGAGCCCAACCCTTAGTTCAGGAGCTATTGACGACTGATGGGACAGTCAATTTCCTTTACTGCTGTGGCCTCACACCCAGGACTACAGAGGCAGAAAGAGGACATGGAACTTGGAGGTGGGTTTTGGGGGTTTTATGCCTGGAGGTATCGGAGGGAGAAACAGGGTAGATATCACTAAAATATATTGTATGCATGTGTGAAGTTCTCAAATAATAAAAAGATCATATATGTGAATAGATATGGACTTATCATATAGTGATGTCTTGGAGACTTGCCTTCTGTTGAGAACAAGAACCTTAAATGCAGCCAAAAGCCCACATGTTTGTGATACTGGCAGGAAGAAGATGGTGGAAACTTTAAAAGTTGTAAACGAGTGGGATGCCTTCAAACCGCAGGGGCTTGTCAGGAAGACGAGAGCCCCGGTCCATGTTCTGCTCTCTTCTGCCCTGACCCTGAGTGAAATCTGCCTCCTCCACACAGCCAGGAGGGAAAGGCCCAATGGGCCAGAGACGTCCCAAACTGTGAGCCAAGATGACTCTTTTTGTTGCTGTCACAGAACCTGCGAGAGCAGCAACTGAAGGGAGGAAGGCTATTTTGGCTCACAGTTGGAGGACACAGTTCGCCGTGGTGGGAAGAGCATGGCAGCAGGTGTGGGCTCATCATGTTGTACCGCAGCCAAAGAGCAGAGGGAAAACACTGGCGTTCAGTTTTCATTCAGTCCCGGACCCAACTCATGGAATTGGTGGGTCTTCCCGTCTCATTCTCCAAGGTAACAATACCTTGGTCTTTATGAATGTTTTCTATGATTTATTTTTAATCCGTGTGTGTGTGTGTGTGTGTGTGTGTGTGTGTGTGTGTGTGTACAGGTACATGTGTTCATGTGCATTTATGTGGAGGCCAGAGGAAGATGTCTTTCACTCTGAGGCAGGCTCTCTCACAGAACCTGAAGCTGGCCATTTCAGCTGTCTGGATGGCCAGTGAGCTCCCAGTATCCGCCCATCTCTGTCCATGTGTATATGTGGGGGATTCGAACTCAGGTCCTCATGTTTGCAGGGCAAATGCTTTCTGTCCACTGAGCCTCTCACTAACAGATCTTCTCTGACTGCTCCTCTCTCTGGAATGTGAGCTCTCTTAGGCTAGGACTCTATTTTACCCTTTTGCATAAACTCCCCTGACCTTCAACAAACACTCACAGATGGTGGTAGGTGGTATAACCTTTAGTAATTACTGTCGCTTGAGAGATGGCTTGTTGGTGGAGAGCCTGTGCACATAAAGGGAACATTTTCTGCTTTAAGAGCTGTAGAGAGTGAGACCCCCAGGTGCTTCTGCACCCCATAGTGCGTAACCGCACCCACCCGCAGATGGCGGCACGGACACAGCTCACCCTTTACTGGCACACCGTTCACAAGTCTCAAATCACGACACCTGGAAAAGCGCCAGCAGATCTTCTACGACAGCCTGGTCTCTCACCAGATATCACCGTGACTGTCCTGACCCCTGAGGTGGGTCCAGACCCTATTACACGGCTCTTTGGGGTGAAAACCTTTAAGAGCTCCTTGTCTTTTATGGCACCAAAGCTAAATTCCTCGGCAAGGCACCCAGGCCTTTCCCGCCCTGGCTCACCTGGCTGACTGCCCAGCAACCCCCTTCTGGAAGAGCACGGGACACCTGCAGCATGCAGACGTACCTGGACGCCTGTGTCCATCCCACCCCCTCTGCCTGCGACATCCGGTCTCACAGTTACCCAGGAGAAGGCCCGCTGCACCCATCTTCACAGCCGCTCCTCACCCAAGAACCTCCCAGTTCCCTCCATCACCACGGAAATGACTTTATCATTTAACCCTTTGCGCACCCATCTTCACAGCCGCTCCTCACCCAAGAACCTCCCAGTTCTCTCCATCACCACGGAAATGACCTTATCATTTAACCCTTTGCGCACCTTTCGGCCTGCAGCAATTCGATCATTACGAGCCGCTTTGTCTCCCTACTTGGGTTGAGTTCTGGTTTTTGTTTTTTAAGATTTTGTGTGTGTGAGCATGTGCCCTTGTGTGTTTGTGTGTGTGTACACAGGCAGCTTCCACAAGAGGCATAAAGACAATGCCCATCGGGTTATGCTGATGCTGGCTCTTCAATGTTGTTGAAGGTGAGTGTCGCCATTTTAAGGAAAAAGGGGCTTGTTTTCCCACATTCAGCAAGCCAATACTGAGACCACTTGGGGGAGAAAGGATGACTTTGCCTAAAGCTGGGAACAGTCTAGATCTGCATGCTGGAGAGCAGGTGAGGGACAAGAATCACCTCAGCCTTCAGCTTCTGGCTTGAGCTCCCAGGGAAGAACACGAAACTTCACGTGTGGGGGTGGGGCACCTGGGGTGCAGTGAAAGGAGAGAAGTAGTATGGCTTTTTATTGGTTAGAGCCAGGTTACACGGTGACCAGAGCCATAAAACCTGTGAGGACACTGTGCAAACAGCCTTTTGTTTACCTAAGGGACTATACCTTTTATCTCTCAGCTAGACAGAAGACAGATGTCTATTAATGGCTTCCCTGGCCAGGCCAGCTGCTGGCCAATACCCGTTCCCTCTCTCTCTCTCCTGTTTGCATGGCTTTTATTGCTTTTTTGTTCTTTCCTTTTCCTTCCACACTATCGAGCTCCCAATCTAAGTATTAGTAGCAGGTGACCCTGGAGCAGACAGCAGGTGGAGCGGACCTGAGTGAAGCCCAGCTTTTGACAGAAGCATGCTCCCTCGTCTCCTGTCGTGCCTTGAGTCTGTGCTGGTGCGAGTACTTTGTTGTCATTGAACCTGAGTTAGTTTGGAAGGGAAGTCTGTGTGGTCTCACCTATTGCCGTGTGTCCTTGAAATACAGACCTCCTCTGTTTCCTCACTTTTCCATTTTTATTTAGCTGTAAAAATTTTTTGAGAGGTAGGTAAACCTCAAAATCAGAGATCTGCCTACTTCTGCCTCTGAAGTGCTGGGATTAAAGGTGTGTGCCACAATGCCAAAACAGTTTTATTGGTATTTATATAAAGGTCTCCAACACTCCATCCCCTTGCCTCAGCCCTCTGGAGACTGAGATTACAGGCATGAGTCACCACGCGTAGCTTGTTTATTTGCTGTGCGGGCTTGTTTTCTTTTACTCAATGTTGAAGATCAAACCCCAGGATTTTCCGGGTACCTGGTCTAAGCATCCTAACCCTGAGCAGCGCCCCTCGTCCGTTTAGGCTATTACCTCGCTAATACACATCAACTTTAAGTGTACACTTGGACTTGTTCTGGTGATAACACATGTAAGGTGCATTTTATTGAACGTCTCTGCTCTTGTTAACGAAGGCATGTCAGGAGAGGCCCTCCTCACACTCCCAGTGCCTAGGGTACAACAGCCCAAGTTCAAATGTTCTCTTTCTTGCTAAACATTAGTTTCCGCATCTGCCGCTTCAGGCAGACTCCCAAGACGCGTCCGGACAGTGTGCCATAAAGTGGGGTGCACGGGCTGCTGGCGAACATCGACAGAGGTTCCACGCCCCAAGGCGGGGCGCGTGGCTGAAAACCAGCGCAAGGTCAAGGGTTCCGTTCTCAGCCCCTGGAGGCAAACAACGACAACAACAAAAACCACCACCAACCTCATCTCCCAACCCCCGAAAAAGAAAAGCGAAATGCAAGGTGGAAGATAAGCACAAAGCCAGCCACCGCACTCCTCGCTCGGGAAGCCCACCAGCCGGGGCAGCCGACGCTGCTCCGGCCACGCATGCGCAGGCAGTCCTGCGCGCCCGAGGCGCTCCGGCAGGGGGCAGCGTCGCGACCCGGAGGGTTGCGCCTGTCGTGCTGGCAGGACGTAAAGCAGCTCTGCTTGGCGGCTCCGTCCTCCGCCGTAAAGCGGGCGCCCCCGCGTGCGCCAGCTTTGCGCTGGGTGCCTCGGTGTGTCGTGTCGTGTCGTGTCGTGGTGGCGGACTTGACCTCCCCGCCATGGGCAAACGCCGGAGCCGCGGCCGCAGCCAGCTGCTCGGCACCATGACCAAGAAGCGGAAGAAGCACCTCCGCGACTTCGGCGAGGAGCACCCGTTCTACGACAGGTCGGGGCGCCGGCGGCCGGCGGGCCCTTCCGGGAGGCCCGGCCCGCTCGCCGAGGGCTTCCAAAACCAAGCCCAGGCATAAGCTGGCCCGCGAGGGGTGAGCCCCGATGCGTTGTTTAAATGCCGGCTTTTGACTTGTTCTTTCCACGCGGTGTTGAACTCATTTGTTGCCCATCTGTCTCCTGGCTCTTGTGCATGCAGATTTTTTTCCCCCAATGACTGGTTATTATTTTGTATTCGGCCTTTTTCCTTTAAAGCAGACCATTAGGTTACAAATTGGCAGCTAACGTTTAACATTGTTTCTTTTTAGGGTTTCCGGAAAGGAGGCAAAGCCACAGATTTGTCAGCTGGTAATGCTTTTTTCTTTACTGTAGTTGGAATTGGGTTGTTACTTTAAGACTGTGTGTAAAGGCGTTTGGTACGTTTCTGTGTTTTCCTGTTTTTTGATGTAAGCTGTGACTTTAGTAATGTTTCTTAATTCGTTTTAAATGATGGAGGTGACTGTAAAGATTCCCGTGTTACAGTAGAAGCCGTGTTTGGAAACTGCCCCGAGACATTGTTGAAGAGGTTCATCAGAGCACCGGCTCTGGATCACTGAAGGGCTTCACACAGTGTAAAATAGACCAGTGGGGTTCGACATGGTTTCTCTGTGTAGCCTTGGCTCCTGAACTCGATTTGTAGACCAGGCTGGCCTCAAATTCACAGAGATCCCCTGCCTCTGCCTCCCTGAGTGCTGAGATTACAGTCTGCGATACAAATTTAAATCCATAACCCCAAATTTTGTTTGAAAACTCAGTTTTCTTTCCATGTGTAGCTAATGTGAGTTAACGTAGTTTGATTAGCTGTTTTATGTAAATGTCATGCAGGGCTTCCTTGAAACGATGAGACTAATATTTGCCCAAAAGCTCATTGAGTTTTTGTTTTTCCATTTTAACTAGTGTATGTTCATTGTACAAAATACTGAGTTTCATTAGGATATTTCCAGGCATAGTTACCTGATCATTTTCATACCATTACTCCCATTGACCTTTTGCCTTCTGCCTCTGCTGGTCCCTTTCCTCTTCCCAAATTCTTTTCCTTTTGATTTCATACCTTCTTACTCCCTTTAAATCTAGTTTCTTCATGCAGTAGAAAACATACTTGCCTCTAGTCTGTCTTACTTATGTCCCATTCTGTCCATCTCCTCGCACAGGATAGAATTTCATTCTGAGGAAATACCATTAATATGTATGTCTCACATTTTTCTTTTTAGTGTGACAATGAAACAATTTAATTTTTTTTTTAAATTCCCCTTTTTCCTTAGTCAGAGAGTTCAGATACGTCACATTCTGAAAGTGAATCAGACAATGAACAAGAGCACATTTCAGGGTACCACAGACTGCTTGCTACATTAAAGAATGTTTCTGAAGAGGAGGAGGAGGACGATGAGGATGGCAGTGCTGTAAGTGATGCAGAAACGAGTGATGAAGATGGTGGTGAAGATGTCAGTGTGGAAGAAACCACAGAGGCAGCTGAGACACAGGAGCGTAAGTGCTTGGGCTTGGCCTGTCCTCTGTGCTGTGTCGGCTGGTGGGAGCATGTGGCTCCAAAGTAGAGATGCAGCTTTGTTGAGTCTGGTTGTGTTTCGAGAATCTGATGGGAACCCAGGACTCTGTCAGGAAAATACCATTAGCTTACTCTTTGGGGAGTTTCTAGCCTAATGTAAGACTGCTTGGCTAATCAGAGGAACATTATTTAGTCACTGTGACAGCTCAGTTCACTGAAGAGGTTGTTCCTCTTCAATGAGAGACCAGGTGGGATGGAAGGTAGACATAAAAATACACATAAATTTTATGTTGTAGATTTGTTGTGTTTATATGAAACAGCTAGAGATACCATTGAGGAAACGTTTCTGCCTCAGTGGGTCCATAAGGAAACTCTGAGAGGTGCTGGTATTGAGAGCCCAGAGGGACTCCATCTCAGGCCTTGGACTACTATTCTAGATGATCTTTCTTCTGTGCTGGGGAATCACACTTAGGACCTGGTGTATATTGGGTTGAGCTTTTTCCTAGTCCTTAGTGTCTTTTGAGTCAAGGTGCAGCCCAGGCCGGCCTTGAACTCAATTCTATTTCTGCTTTGAGAATATAGGTGTGTGCCACCATGCCTGGCTTAATTGCCTTCTTTTTTTTTTTTTTTTAATCAGCTTCATTAGAGTATTTTCTTTATGCAGATAGAATAACTCCAGTGTGGGCTGATGTGACAGCTCTTTGGGTATATGCTCCTACTGTGAAAGCATGACAACTTGGTTAGAGTCCTACGACCCACATAAATATGGAAGAGCCAGATTCACTCACAATACTAATAATAATGAAAAAAAAGTACCTAATTCTTATTTGCAGTTTGAGCTTTGACAAATATATACTGTCTATCACCTCCAGAAACTGTTATCCTTTGCCCACAGCGACCTGATTTTGGTCACTGTGGATTAGCTGTGCCCATTATAGAATCTGTGCAAACATGGTCAAACACTCAGCCTTTTGAGACCAACTCTCATTCTGTAAACCCAGCCTTGAACCAGTGTGGCCCATGCTGGTCTCCAACCCTGACAGTCTTCCTGCTTCGTCATCCTCCTCCCCCCACCCATGTGCTGGGATTGCAAGTGTGCTGTACTGTGCATGCTTTCTTATATTAGTAGGCCATCTTTCTTCTTTTCTTTAGTAAGATACTATAGATGTTTAATTTTTTTCATTTCGTTTTATTGTTACAGTATACTTTGCAGTATTGGGGATTGAACCTAGTGCTTTCCACCTGTGCTCTACAACTGAGTTCTGTCCTCTGCTTGAATCTTTTTTCTCTGTAACATAACTTTGGGTTCACATTAGCTTCTTGGATATATAACACTCAGTATTGAATACGCCTGTGAAAGAGGTTTCATTTGTTCCATGTTGTTTCTTACCGCAGTTGAGGCTGCTGTGACTGTCTTTCATGTGTATCTTGGTGCACTATTTTAGAGTAAGTTCTAGACTTCTCCAGAGTAACTCCTAATTATGATAGAAATTTTAAGGAATTGGCTCATGTGATTGTAAAGGCTCAGCAATATATACCCAATGGGCTGCAAGCTTCAAGTCTAAAAGCAGCCAGGCAGGATTGCCTTTAGAGCTCCAAGAGGAAGCACTGTTACAACTGGATTCAAAGGCAGATTGCTGGACGTTTCCCTCTCAGGACAGAACTGCCTCCCTTGTTTCCCCAAGCCTTCTACAAATGGTAGGAGGCCCACCACACTAAGGCCAGGATATAGCCCAGCTGGTAGTGTCTACCTGCCCTGCAGAGCTCTGGGTTCCATGCCCAGACCTACATACACCAGGCAAAGATGGAGGATAGTCGCAACTCTAACACGTAGGAGATAGAGACAGGGGAGTCAGAAGTTCAGGGTCATCCGTCCTGAGCTGATAGTGGGTTAACAAAGAGCCTAAACTACAGAAGACCCTGCCTCAAAAAATAAAAGCCTCTTGACTCCTGGATAGAAGTCCACCATTTGGAACATAAATTTAATCTAATAATATCCCAAGTAAAGTTCAAGCACACCATCAGTCTTGAAAGCCCAGTGGTACAGAATTTACTTCATCACTCAGGTCCATAATCAGGCTTAATTCTGGAAGGTCACTTCCTCTGAATTACCTGATTTTTATTTAAAAGTAATGGTGTGTGTGTGTGTGTGTGTGTGTGTGTGTGTGTGTGTGTGTGTGACAGTGCACACCTTTAATGCCAGCACTACAGAGATATTGGTAGGCAGATCTCTGTGAATTCAAGGCCAGCCTGTTCTAGAAAGTAAGCTCCAGGACAGCCAGGACAACATAGAGAAATCCTGCCCTGAAAACCCAAAAATGAAGATGTAAATAATAGCAATGAGCATCACTTTTATTTTGTCAACATTTAACTCTGAGTAAATTATTTATTTATTTTTGAAATGGTTTCACCCTGTAGGCTTGGCTGTCCAGAAATTGCTGTTGACCAGGCTGGCCTACAACCCAGGAGTCCAACCAGGCCCCATAAATTTTACAAAATATTTTTTTTAATATTTCAGATTCGTCCCTTCTTGACAACTCACAAGGAAAAGATGGGAAAGAGTCATCTGATACATTACAGAGATCGTCTGAGGAGTTCACAGATGCCAAACACGAGTCACTGTTCAGCCTGGAAACCAACTTTCTGGAAGAGGAGAGTGGAGACACTTATTCTCAGAGAACATCCCAAGGTGACGGTGGCTCCTGTGGCTCCAACCCTCTCGTGGTGGGCTGAGCTCGATTCCTGCTTAGTCTCCTGACTGAGGGAGCCAGCTAGGTAGAGCCCACATGGGGGGCTGGGGTAGGTAGTTCCCCGGTGTGTGTGCTGTTTAGTACTTAGTGTAGAGGGAGGGCTGGCTAGCCGGAGGAGAAGGGACTGAAGGGCAGAAGTTGGGGGCCAAGTCCCCAGGCCTCAGGTCTCCAGAGTTAGAGTCTGAGGATGACTTTGTCGCCTGACAGACAGAAACAAAGGGAGAAAGCGCGCTTCTCTCCCTCACCCACTCCTCCCCGTGGGAAGAGAACTTTTTCAGATTTGTGAGTCTCAGGCATGGCCCATCTGAGTGTTGTTCTTACTAGGAGGAGCCCCAAGCCACACTGTGCTACAGCTAAGCCCGTGACCAAACGGCAGCAGCTGGGCATGGGTGTCCGCACTGTCGGTCTGCCTGGGTGGGCAGCAGCTGGGCATGGGTGTCCGCACTGTTGGTCCGCCTGGGTGGGCAGGCCAAGCTGCTGTCCTTCCGTTCCTACCTGTTCCGGCTTTCTGCACTTGGGCTGCAGCATGGAGGAAGCCAAGTCCTTGTTTGGCCTAGTTGGGTCTGCTGGCTGTTACATGGGAGGAGCAGGACAGGTAGAATTTGTGGCGTCTCAGCAGAAACCACGTTCTGAACAGTGACAGTGTAGGAGCCTGGCTGGAAGCAGGGAGCCGGCTGTCCTGAAGCTCGGCCTATGTGTTGTGCAGATAGATGGGCCTGGCCCTGTAGTGTTGCTCACTGTTGTCCTGGGCATTTACTGCACTTGCCTGTCATTTGGATCCTTGAGCAACTTACTTCACTTTGCTGCTTCTCAGTGAGAGAGCACAGAGCAAGGGCTGAGGTCACCTGAGTGCAGGGACACAGGGGGCTGAGGTCACCTGAGTACAGGGACAACATTTGTATCCTTTGCTAGCTCAGGTGAACACTGAGATATGTCTTGTTGTACAGGTATGGGCCTGCTCTCAGGAATCTTGCCATCCACCAGATAAGACAGGAGCATGCGGTGACGTGTTTGGATGGGTGAGGCATGGTAGAGACTAAGGAGTGTGACTGTCCACAAGGAACCAGCTCTAGCGTCTGCCTAGAGCCAGTGCTGTGCCTGGCACAGGAACTGCCTGTGAAGCACTTTCTGTGCTGCGCGGGAAGAGTGTGGTGAGAGGGCGTGTGCAAAGGGAAGGTCAGAAGCAGAGTTTAGGGCTGCGTCAGAGGTGTGTTCAGGTGCAGGTCAAGGCCTGAGCTTTAGCCTGAAGTGTCATGCGATCGGTGTGTACATTTGGAGGGTCATCTTGTCAGACAGGCTTAGGTGCTGGAGGGTGGGGAATGGGGTTAGAAAGAAGGATGAGTCCACACTGGAAGATCATCATGTCAGTCGGTGTCAACAGAGGCAAGAGATGAGTCCGCCGCTCTCAGGAGACCAAGCCGTTTGCTCACTGTGCTCATAACCCTGTCCTGATCTAGATCCCTTCCAGCAGCATGTCAACAGAGAACTGAAAGAAAAGGAAATTCAGGTTGCTGCAGCCAGCCCTCCTACTACCCAGCAAGTGAAGGTAAGTGCTGCTTGGTTTTCCAGGCCCAGGGGAAAGCCCCACAGAAACTGGGCTATGGTTTATTGACATGTTAGTTATCCACAGTGAGTTTCCTTTTGACACAAATCCCAAGTGTTGGGATTGTAGGTGTGATACCATACGTGGTCTAGTTGTCTGTCCCAGCCTTTATTGTGGACACACGCGATGCTTCTTGTACCTTTTGCGTATTTTCCCATGGTAGCATGTAACAGAGTAGGTACAGTACAGTATCACAACCAGAAAATGGACGTAGATGCCATTTATGGCTGCTTGGAACTCAAGCGTGCTGGGCTGAGTACTCTGTCTACTGTGGCGTTGCATCCCTAGACCCAGGTTCTGTCTTGGAGGATCCTGTTTCTACTAGGAACATGCCAGCACTATGTGGTCTCACAGACAGGGTCCACTGTGTACCTCTGGCTGGCCTCAAAATCACAAGAGAGCTGTCTGCCTCTGCCTCTGAGTACCTGGCCCCGTTACTGCTTTTTGCCACATCCATGTCCTTTCCTCATACCTAACCCCATGTCTTCTGAGCTCCTTTCTGTTTGTGGGAGCTTGTCGGTTCAGTTCAGTAGCTGGACCTTTTGAGATGAGCTGCTTCGTTCTGCACAGCTTCCTGAGAGGCACCAGGCTGCCCGGCTACCTGTGGCTCATTCTTTTATTTCTGATGTGACTAATTTTAGTCACAGTGAAAACATTCTAAACTTGTATTTCACAAAGTAGCATCCCCTGAAGTTCTGTGATGTATGTCTCTAAAACAGTTGGAGGAAGAAAGGGAGAAGATGATCAATTCCAAGACATGACTGAGCCCTTTCATGTCACACCTTGTGACACACCACACTGCTGAAGTTATTTGACCAGTTCTAGAGGAATCTGACTCCTCAGACATGTTCCTCAGAACAGTGCAGAAACACTAGAGTCATGCTCAAACATGAAGTCAGGCCCCAAGCTGCACCCCGCTGGTGCGGCCAGTGTGTGGACCCTTTCGCCTCCGTGCGGTTCAGCATTCCCCACACTGACTGTGTTACAGCTGTGCAGCAGGGCGTGGGTGACCTGTGAGCCGTTAGGTGCTGTGTGAGGGTCCAGGCTTGTTACTCATTTCTAACCTCAGTCTTGATCTGTCTGCCCTAGTGGCCCGTCCTGGGACAGCTTGTCTTTTCATCAAAGTTCCAAACGATGGAGACATTTAAGCCTCCAAAGGACATTGGACTGCAGTCACTTCATCTTCAGAAGCCTCTAGAATCCACCTGGACAAAGACCAATAGCCAGTTCCTCTCTGCTCCTCAAAAATCAAATAGTCCCTTTACCCCACTCCAGAAAGAGCTGTTCTTAATCATGAATTCCTACCGGGACCTGTTCTACCCTGAGAGGACTGCCCTGAAGAATGGAGAAGAGGTCCGCCATGTGTACTGTCTGCATGCCATCAACCACGTCCTCAAAGCCAATGCCCAAGTGCTGGCTAACAACAGTAGGCGCCGAAGCCAGAAGCTTGGGCTGGGTGAAGATGATGACTTCAGGGACCAAGGGCTCACCAGGCCTAAGGTGAGCCTTGCTGTCAGGGGGTCAGTGAGGTGCTGCCGAGTGCTGACTGTGTCAGAGCTGACTGGTTGGTAAATCCTCAGATGAGCAGTCAAGTGAGCCAGGCAGTGCCAGACAGTGCAAGGGGCTTTAGCTGCTCTCAGGTGAACCCCAAGCACATAAGCACCCCATTGCCAGTGCTCTCTTCCTGGTGTCCCTGTATGTGACAGCCATGGACCCAGATTCACAGAAGGACCTGCTGAAGAGAACAGGAGAAAGAGGAAGAGAAATTGACTAGAATTAGGCTCTCCACCAAGCCACACACACATCCACCTTCAAACCGAAGACCCGTTTCTGCCGTAATGCCCCTGCTGCTCCTGCATTGGTTGTGTTTGCTTGTGCCCCCTAGTCTGACCTCTGGCAGAGTTGAGGCTCTCGTAGCAAAGGAAATAGACTTAATCTGTCGAATTTGTCACAATCCTGAGGAGCCAGGCCTTGTTCTCGTACTTGCACCCCGTCTTCTTGCAGAAGCTCATTTCCAGACTTCTGTTGAGCTCAGCAGGATTCTAGGGTATGAAGCTTTTTTTTTTTTTTTTAGATTCATTATTTATACAGTGTTCTGCCTGCCTGTGTGCCTGTATACCAGGAGAAGGCCCCAGATCTCATTATAGATGGTTGTGAGCCACCATGTGGTTGCTGGGAATTGAACTCTGGACCTTTGGAAGGACAGCTTTCTGAGTTTATCTCTCCAGCCTCCAGGGTGTGAACCTTGATGTGGCTCCTATGGGTGTTTTCAGTCTGATACCTTGTTTGTTAATGAGGGACAAAATGTGGCCACTTAATTAGTGTCACTACCAATTAGTAATCACTACAGATTAGTAATTTGTCTGCCGTGTAGAGCAAGTTCCTTAGGGATGGGCCTGACACTTGAGGCTGTCTATTGCTCTTGTGTACTCTGCAGGAGAATCAGGGCTAGGATTGCAGTCTCAGGGTTTGGCTAGGGTCACACCATTGAGTTGCTTTTAGTTTTAGATTTATTTACTTTTACGTCTATGACTGTTCTGCCAGCATGTATGTATATGCACCGCATGCAGGCCTTAGTGCCTGTGGAAGTCAGGCGAGTGTCTTAGAGTCCCTGGAATTGAGTTAGGATGGTTGTGGGCCATCATGTGAATGCTGGAACCAAACTCTGGTCCTTTGCAGGGGTAGCAAGTGCTCTACATCATGGAATGTTCCCTTAGGTACCATCTGTAAGCATTTTTAAGAGGCTTGGAAAGTTGAATCCTGCTTTTCCAGTTCAGAAGTATGTCATCACTGGTTTCAGAAACTCCTAGAGAATATGCTAAAAAATAATAATAATAATGTTTTTAATGCTTTTCTGTATTTTTTTCTTACTGTTTCTTACTTTTCTACTGGTGTGACAAAACATGACCAAGGCAACATAAAAGAAAGCAGTAACTGGGCTTACAGTTTCAGAGGGGTAGAATACGTGAGGACAGAATAAGGATGGCCGCAGAAACAGTTGAAAGCTTGATCCACAAGTAAGCCTGAGAGAGGCACATGCAGAATGCCAGGAGTCTTGAATCCTCAAAGCCCACCCTCAGTGACACTGCTCCAACAAGGCCACGCCTCCTACTAATCCTTGCCAAACAGTTCTACCTAGTGGGGCCCAAGCATTCAAACATAGGAGCTGAATGGGATTATTCTCATTCAAAGTACTGTACTGTGCATTTGTTCGAGTGGGTCCTACTTTGCCCTCACAGACCCTATATATCTCTGCCCTTGAGTTGCTGCTACAGACATTGCCTTATACTGAAAGGTATTTCCCAATTTCTCTGTGGAGAAATGTCTCCATAGAGACTAAAGTTCACGGGATGTTTTTGTGTAGGTCCAGGAGACACTTGACTTCTGGTACTGAGCCAGGTCTTTTGTACAGATACTCATCTCTGACCTGCCGTTGCCTCCCACAGGTACTTATAGTAGTGCCCTTCCGGGAAGCTGCCCTTAGGGTGGTCCAGCTTTTCATCAGCCTCCTTGAGGGAGACAGCAAGAAGAAAATCATTGTGAGCAACAAAAAGAGGTTTCAGGGGGAGTATGGCTCTGATCCTGAGGAGAGACCTCCCAACCTGAAGAGGCCTGAGGATTATGAAGCGGTGTTCGTGGGCAATATTGATGACCACTTCAGGATTGGTACGCCTCCCATCAAGGTGGTGGTCCGTGGGAAAGCTGCAGAGGTCCCTGACTCAGCCTTCTAGCAAAACTGTGCTCTTGAGACCTTGCTTGCCAGACACAGGAGGCTTGCGTTGGCTGATGGGTGGAGCTTCCAAGACCATGTAGGAAGGCCTTGTGCATTACTGTGGACGTGGTTTGGCGGCAACGGGTGCGCATCGTCAGGCACTGTCAGGGCTTTTCAGAGAGTTGGGAGTCATAGGTGCTGGATGGGGTCACCCTGAGGAGGCTGGGAAAATGTAGCTGTGTACGCGTAAGGCTGGGTCTACACCTTAACCTGTTTGTAGAGTGCCCACCTAACTGAAGACACCACCCAGTTTTCATGTTGGTGCTTCTCTCACTCAGCTCCCTTCTTACCTTTATAAGTTTAAGTTCTTGGGCCTCGGTTACAAACCATTTACTGAGTACTTGCAGCCTGACTGATGTGGTTAAGAAGCTGGGGAGTAGAAGTCTAGCCTAGGACACAGCAAGCACTCAAGGCTGTCTTGGGAGGTGACAAATGGTGTTTTCTAGGCGTGGCGATACTTCAGAGGAGCATCCGTCTCTATGCCCCTTTTTACTCCTCCGACATCCTCATCGCCTCCCCACTGGGCTTGAGGACCATCATTGGTGCTGAAGGAGAAAAGAAGAGAGATTTTGACTTTCTGTCTTCTGTTGAGCTTCTCATCATTGACCAGGCTGACATTTACCTGATGCAGAACTGGGAACATGTCTTGGTAATGCTGGGTTTCTCCTTTTAAGGGACAGCATCCGTGCTCAGTACATTGAGGAAGAGCGAGTATCATACCTGTTGACCAATAGTGCTGGAATTGTTTAGTTTTCTGTTCTTTGCTATGCTGGGAACTGAACACAGGGTCTGGCATGGTAGGCCAGAGTCTGTCACTAAGGCACCCCTGTCATTGATGGTTTGAGATCCAGTCATTGAAGGACAAAGATTCTGTTTTCCATGTGGCTTCACTTTTTGTCCAGGTCTGGGACAGCAGCCCCAAAAGTGACCGGTTTGCATTTCACAAGACCCTTATATGAGTCACTTTCTGTTTTTGTTACTCAGTTTTCTCTGCTAGAGTATAAAGTAACATGTTTCCTGTGACCATTTCATGCATGTGTATTGTACTTTGCCACGTTCGCCCTATCTGCTGTCTCCTCCCCCCGGCCACTTGTCCCTTCAGTAGTTCTTATGGTCTTTAAGCCAGTCTCACTCTGCAACCTAAGCTGATCTCAGACTTTTTATGTAGCCCAGCCTGGCCTCAAATCCTCCTGGTGCTGGGGTTTCAGGAGTGCCCCTCCGTGCCTAATTTTAGAAACTCCTTTTATAGGAATGCTCCGGTAGCTAGCCTGCCTTCTTATTTTGAAGGGCCAGGGCATAGCTGGTTTGTGCTTCTATTCTCTCTGGAGTGTTGAGCTGACCTTGACGGGCCACCATTTGAGCCTGATTTGTCTGCTGTCACTTGGAAGGTGGGGTTAAGGGAAGGATGAGTTATAAGTGCTCATGGGTGCCCAACACACGTGCTCATAGACACTAACGGCGGTGGTGTTTTGCTCCAAGCATTTGATGAAGCACATGAACCTGCTGCCCTTGGACTCTCATGGGGTGGACTTCTCTCGAGTGCGCATGTGGAGCCTCAATAACTGGTCCAGGTTCTACCGCCAGACGCTGCTCTTCGGTGCCCTGCAGGATGCGCAGATCAACTCCGTGTTCAACAAGCACTGTGTCAATGCGCAAGGCCAGGTGAGCCTCGTGTCCTCGGCACGCACTGGGTTGCCTCAAGGAGTACAGGAGTTCATGGACGTGATGAGCAAGGGATGCCGGCTCCTAAAGTTCTTGCCTCCCGGCAGGTGGCCGTGAGGAATGTCCCAATGATAGGCTCCATCAGTCATGTGTTGGTGCAGCTACCTCACGTCTTCCAGAGGGCGGAAGTCCAGGACCTAGCGTCAGCGATCGATGCCAGGTAAGCCCACACCGCAGGGCCTCGTTGAGAGAGCTGCCTTGGACACTGCTGATTACTACACTAGGTCCCAAACTAAGTTCAGCCCTGCCTGACAAAGATGGAGTCAAGCCTGGGAGAAAAGGGGGTGTGGCCTCAGTCTCAGAGCTAGAGGCAAGGCTGGGAGTGAAGCCAGGGCTCCTGACCCCTTGATAGAGACACTGCAAAGTCACGGCGTGCTGCTGTGGCCTGGGAAATGCTCCATGCCATTCCACTTAACTGTAAGCCTTTCAGAGAAGAGCTGGTGTCTAATCCTCTCCACATTTGCCCTCTGTGGGCCTTTTGTGCTCGGCACATGCTGCAGGCAGGCTTGTTTGTTGCTGAGTGAATGAGGGGTGTATGTGGCACCACGTCTGCCTTCACACTTAACTGTGAGCGCCTCGTTTTCTTCGTGGTTGTCAGGTTATAGTCTTTGAAAAGAAGGCAGTCGCTGGCCTCGGGGGATCTCTTGGGCTGTGGCTTGCTGGCCGGCACTGATGCTGCCTCTTGTGAGTTCTAGACTGTTAGACTGTTAACCCTGTCCTTGGCTTTCCTAATCAGGTTTCACTTTTTCACCAACAAGATTCTGCCTCAGTACCGGGATGCCATCATGTCCCACACGCTCATCTATGTCCCCTCCTACTTTGACTTTGTGCGTCTCCGAAACTACTTCAAGAAGGAAGAGCTGAACTTCACACACATCTGCGAGTACACACAGAAGTCTGGGGTCTCTAGGGCGAGACACTTCTTTCTCCAAGGAGAAAAGCAGTTTCTGCTCCTCACAGAACGCTTCCACTTCTACAAAAGGTAAACAGCACAGGCTCCGCCCCTGAGGGCCCGGATAGGCCCCCCTTGCCTCTGCTGCTGTGGAAAAGCCACAGGGATCGATAGTGCTAGACTCCGCATTGGGGTTGGTGTTGGTTACTTCCTGGAGTGGGCATTGGCAGGAAGGGTACAGCCAAGCTGTGTGGCCTGGAGTGCAGCTGTGCTCCAAAGGCCTCAGAACCAGTGCAGGGTGGACAGGGCCCACACAGATGAGCCTGGGGCGGGAGAGGCTAACACAGGGCAGCACTCCTGAGAGGTCACGCTCGGGTAGAGAACTCACCGTGGGCTCTGGACCACTTGATGGTGGCAGCAGCAAAGACTGAAGGCTCAAGGTGGAGTATTCTTATTGTTTGAGTGTGTGCTTAGATTTACTGGCATGTCACTAACAAAACACCCTGCCTAGCCTTTTTGCTATTTCTTTTTAAATCCTAATTTGCCTCTTAGTTAATTATAGCTTCTGGACCTGCTAGATGGGCTCAATTCCCAGGACCCACATGGTAGGAGGAGAGACCCAACTCCTCGTTTCTGAGACAGCTGCAGTGTCCCCAGGTCCCCATCAGGCCTCTGCTGCCAGATGCAGACCTTTCCGATGCTTTACTACAGAGATGGAGAGTGTGTCCAAGTCCTTCTTTCCGGTTTCTTATGGGGGGGGTTGACTTTTCTGTTTGTATTCTGTTGTTGTTGTTGTTATCATTTCCTTTTGTTGAGACAAGGTTTTATTTAACCCAGGAAACTTTCAAACTCTAGCCAAGGCTGGCCTGAAACTCCTGATCTCCCTGAGTCTACCTCCTACTTGCTGAGGTTACAGTGCACATCACCACCCCGGCTGGTATTGTGCTTTATTTACCTGTCGCAATATAGATCAATAAGGATCTGCCAGGCCCGGGAGCCAGAAGCCCTCCAAGCTTTGACGGGCATTCAGCTATGCGCCGTGACTGTGGGCCTTTTCGTTTATGCTGGCAGCGGGATGCTGTTCCCCAGGTGTACTGTGTTTCCCTGGATGGTGAGAGAGGAATCCTAGCAGCCTGCCTGGGCTGAGCAGACTAGGCATGACGACTTTTTAAATGTTTTACCTAGTGTTGTCCGAAATGTCTGAAATGCATTACATGCAAATTGCTGAAACATGGGGCTGTCTGTTCCCAGCTCCATTCTTGGCGCCAGGGCTCATGAGCGCCTGCTGTTGGCCTCACTGTTGGCTGTGTTCTAGAGAGTTGTTTCCGTTGATGGTGGAGTCATACTCATGGAAGTTCTTAGCGTTCTATCATCCAGCAAATGGAAGCAAGCCATCTATATGGCTGGAAATTTTTTTTCAATGTGATTGTAGCCATTTCAAATTAAACTGCCAGGCACTGTTTTTAAGGACCTTAGCAGCATTTCAAGGCGAGGGTGTAGTCTGCTTTAAAGGATCCTTGTTGCCAGTCAGCTGACCCTGTAAGGATTTTTAGCCCTTAGACTTTAAGTGTTGGTTGTCTCTTGGATTTCTGGGAACAGGAGAGGATGTAAACAAGCCAGCTGAGGCTGAGAAAGGGAGATTGAGTGAGAAGGCAGCTGGTGGAGAAGAGACTGTTGGGAGGCAGTTGAGCCAGGAGAAGCCACTGAGCAGATAGGCTAGAACGGCTGTTAGATTTGGAGCTGGTAGGATTGGGAAAATTGGGAGGAGACCAAGCAGACTATTGAGGAACAGAGGGAGGAATGATGGGAGGGTACTTGAAGGGGCTGGGCTGGAAACTGGGAGGGACTGTTGGGAAAGAAATATGATTCAGGGATCTCTTCCGTGGAAGTGGGATGGGTAAAGAGTGGGAAAAGAACTCACAAAGTAGCAAAGAACTGCTACAATTGGTGCCCTGCGTGGGGCTCTTTGCATGCTGAGTGTTACAGGATTGAGGTGCCTTAGGTTGCTAGGCTGTCTCTGCCTATAGTAGTTTCCAGCGGGATGGCTGACAGTGTTGAGGAGAGGATCGAGAAAACAGTAGGATGAAGGCGTCTTGGAGCTAGGTGGGGGTGTGGCCATGGCGGATCTGTAGTACTGTTGCTGCACATTGCTGCATTGGGCATGTTCCAAGATAAGGACAAATTGTAAACTAGACTCAGAATGGATGCTGGGGCGGGGCAGGGCCCTTCATGCACTTGTGTGAGTCCAGGTTTTAGAAGCCCTGAGTTTGGTGTTTGTACCACACAGCAGTTTTGGAATTGCAGCTATGGGATAGCCATTATCAGTTGGCAAGGAAAGCAGACACATGGCATGTCCTGGGCTTTAGGTCCTGTCAGGATTAGGCTTATTTGAAGCCTTGGAACATTCACAAGGGAGGTAGGCTGATGAAGCAGTGCAGGAAAGGCGGCCAAAATGGAGAACTCCACAAGCTGCTTCTCAACAGGCTCAGGCTTGCTGTTTCTGTGACATTCCTAGACTCTGATGAGCTAGTTAAAACTGACTTTTTTTTTTTTTTTTTTTTTTTTTTTATTAAAAACGTGACCATGCTTCTTTGACTTTTCTTTGGTTTTCCAATTCTGAGGGTATTTATTACATGTACAGAACTTGGAAATTTAAGTTAAAAAGAAAACAGTCGCCTGTGATCTCCTACCTCATATAAATACTGTGATTTGCTAGTCATATTGAGTCCTTGCACAGCTGAGAGGATCCAGAGTTCAAGGCCAGCCGTGGCTACATTATGAATTTGAGGCCAGCTTATTTTATGTGAGATTCTGTTGTAGGGGGAAAAATTAAAGAAAAAAACACCTGAGCCAGTGAGTTGGCCCAGCATGGAAAGGCACCCTTCTGATCAGTTCAGTTCAGCACCCAGGACCCCCACAGTGGAAAGAGACAATACTCTCGACTTGCTCTCTGGCTTCTGCGTGGGTGCCACAAATACAGTAACTAACTTTTAAAAATTAAACTATCAACATTTTAATGTGTTTTTCTTTTTTTACCTGAGAAATCTGAGAGTAGGTGTGTGTCTGAGCCTGTTACTGGTCTTTTTGAAATAACACACTTACAGGCACACTACATGCAACAGGGCATTCCCCTCTAGGCCTTTATGTGCAGATCATGAAGCAGAGTACAAGCATGGTAAGGGCTCGCTGTTTAGCTGCGTAGATTGTGGGGGTGTGTTTAACGGATAGCTCTCCATACATCCTTCTTTGCCCTAGATGTCTAGGGAAAGAAAGATTTCATTTCAGAAGAAAATGACAGGATCTTAATAAACAGGATCTGCTGCCCCTGTTTCTGAGCTCCCCAGCCACGGGCACACATACGGCATTTGTGCATATCTGTGTCTCTGCATTCACTCTTGTTTTCTGCCGGAACCATCAAGAGTCAGTTGTGAGGGCTCAGAGTTGTCATCCCTCTCCATTGCAAGGCCAGCCTGAGAGCCAGCCTTCTCTCCTAAAGAAAAGAAAGCTGAGAGACGCTTCACGCCCTCACCTGAGTGAAGTGTATGCAGCACACATCTAACACAGCGTTCTTCCATGTGGCCACAACATCTGTGTCCTAGCACTGAGTGTCACTGCAATGCCATTGCTAATGTGTGGCCTGGAGCAGCTCTCCCATGCTGTTTCCCAGTCCAGGATACATTGCATTCGTCGCTTTCTTTAGCTTAGTCTCAACCATGGCACTTGTTCCCCAGGACACTTCTCTGTCAGGATGTTTTTGCTTGCCACACAGTATGTTCATCCTAGTGTGTTTGGAGCGGGAATAATGCTAGGCCCTTTTAGTGTATAGGACACCTCACCCACGCTCGTGTGGCCTGGCTCAGAATGCCAGTTGTGAAAGAATGGATCTACAGTGTTCTCTTGCTTTTGTTCTCTTTCATGACTTGACATGTTTTAAAGGGTCATATCATGTTTTCTATAATTATATCCCATAATCTAGATTATCTGATTGTTTATTATTTGGGCAGGTAGCTCCCAAACTTGAATGTATATTAGAATTCTTTTGTTGGTGGTTTCTTGTCTCCCACCCCTAAACAGGGTTTCTCTGTGTAGTCCTGGCTATCCTAAAGTTTACTCTATTCCAGACTGGCCTTGAGCTCAGGTCCAGTTGCCTCTGCCTCCCCAGCGCTGGGATTAAAGGTGTGCGCCATCATCACCCAGCTTTAGAATTCTTGAGAGTTATTGATAAGTCTTATGCTGGGTCTGAGCTCGGTGCTGCTGAAGTTGGTGATGAGGGACAGACAGAGTCTTTGCAGATGACCAGTGTGCATCACTTTGGCTACCGTTAGAATAAGCTGCCTATAGGTGTTTTTTATCAGTGCAGCCTCGTCTCTTGTTCATTCGCACCGTGTCTGCTGGCCAGTAGTGTAGGGGGCTGTTTCAGTCTTGGATTTCATAATTGCCATAGCAACCTTCCATCTACACAGGACTCAAATTCCTGTAGCAGGTAGAGGGCATACCTCTACTGGTGTCTGAGGTGCTGATGGGTTTTCTCAGTGCCCTGATCTCTCAGGACAGAAGCACGTAGGTTGTATGTGAATAGTGCATCATTTCATGTGACCAAGTTGAGCACCAGCAATCACTGGTGAAGTGGAAGTCAATGTTGGTGGTGGTGTTTTGTGGGGTTGTTTTTGTATTAAGACAGGCTCCTGTAGCACAGGCTGGCTTCAGGCTCTCTGCTTAGCTGAGGATAATGTTCTTCTGATCCTCCTACCTTCGCCTCCCACGTGCTAACATCACAGATGTGCGTCACACACCTGGCATACTGTTTGTCTTCATATCAACCTCGGGCTGTTTGCTTAAGTTCTTCAGTGGGGGACGGAGCTGGCAAGACAACTCAGCGTTGTAAGAGCACTGGGATTTGATTCCCAACATCCACGTTGTGGCCACAACCTTCTGTAATGTCAGTTCCAGGGGATCTAGTGCCCTCCTCTGACTTCTGACACCCATAGTACATGTGCAGGCACTCACACACGCTAACATAAGTGCCTTGTTTTTAGTAATGAATGGTATCATGGGGGTCTCCAGAGAGACCAGGATGTGCTGTGAGGTCAGAGGAAGGCGGAACTGTGGATGAGACAAAGCTCCTGTTGTGAGCAGCACCATCTGTGTACTAGACTCTCTAACAGGAGAGTCAGAGCCTTGTCAGCGGCCTGCGGCTGGCTCCCTCAGGGGAGCCATGTGACCTTGACTCCAGCTGTTCAGGGAGTCCCTGCAGTTCGCGCCCTGCATCCACCATGCTGCTGGGTTGAGGTGGACATTTGTGCTCTGCTTTGACGATGCTGAATGCAGCGTCAGCAGGATCTTGTAAGGTGGGTGAACCTGGGAGATCTCTGTCCACAGAGATGAGAAAGGACCAGCAGGTGCTGTTACTGTTGTTGCCGTCAATGCCCTGGGTCTGACCTCATCCCCTTTTTACCTGATTAAATTGTCAAGCACAGTGTTTACTTTTTTGGCAGATTTTTTTTTTAATCCTTATTTTGTGTGTGTGTGTGTGTGTGTGTGTGTGTGTGTGTGTGTGTGTGTGTGCGCGCGCACGTGCGCACACGCGTGTTTGTGCATGGGTGGAGGTCAGAGGGTGTCTTCAGGGAGTCAGCCCTCCTCTGGCTGTGGATTCCAGGAATTTAACTCGGGTGGAGCTCAGGTTACCAGCCTCAATGGCACATCCTCACCTCCACAGCCATCAGCCTCCTCTGATGCTTTCTAGTCCTGCGCACTGTTTTACTTCAGCTCATGCAGATCAGGCTCAGGAAGTAGAAATCTCTGCAGCTGCGGTGACACAAGCTGTAACTCCAACGTCCTGGGAGGCTGAGGCAGGTGGATTGTTGAGTCCTTGGCCGGTCTTGGTCTCATGAGTTTGAGTCCAGCTTGTCTCTAAAGAACACGGAGCCAGTAAGATGGTCCAGCTAGTAAAGATGTCTGGGTTCCCCATGGAGAAAAGAGAAATGACTCCCACAAGTTGTCCTTTGCTCTCTGCATGCGTGCTGTGGTATACACACACGTGTGTGCGTGCGCACACACATACACACACACAGAGGGCTAAAGTCAATAATTGTAATTTATCAAATGGTTTTAAAAAGGTTAGATATTGTGGTTCATACCAGCACTTGGGAGGCAGGTAGATCTCTGTAAGTTGAGGCCAGCCTGGTCTCCACCATAAATTCCAGGCCAACCAGGGCTCTATAATGAGATTGTGTCCTATGACAGATAGGTAGATGGATGGATGGCTTGATAGAGAAGAGAGAGAAATTTGAAAATTAGGCCAGGCATTGTAGTGCAGTCTTTAATCCCAGCACTCAGGAGGAGGTAGAGGCAGGTAATTAGTTCCCTGTGAGTTTCAGACCAGCCTGGTCTACTGGAGAGTTCTAGGTCAGCAAGGACTACCTAGCGAAATCCTGTCTCCAAAAATATTTTTTAATAAATAGAAATTTCTGTTATCATTTTCTTAGACTCAGCATTAGGAATTCAGTTACATTGTCACAAAGGTAAAGGCTCTAGCTCTAGAGTAATTTTCTCCCGTGATTTGTGCTCTTCTTTTCACCCCAGCATGTAGGAATGTAGTGAGCCATGTGCCTATGAAGCAGTTGCTGGCATGGCTTCTGCTGCTCCTTCATGCCCCTCCTTCCTCACAGGTACACAATAAAAGGCATCAGGAACCTGATCTTCTACGAACTGCCAACATACCCTCACTTCTACAGCGAAGTCTGTAACATGCTGAAAGCCACCAGCAGAGGCGAGGAGGCCACGTGGACCTGCACTGTGCTCTATTCCAAGTACGATGCCCAGAGGCTGGCGGCTGTGGTCGGCGCGGAGCGAGCGGCGCAGATGCTGCAGTCTCCGAAGAATGTCCACCTCTTCGTCACCGGAGAAAAATGAGTATGGTGGGGCAGCTGCACCCGTGGACCATGAGGTCTGGTTCTGACCACTGTGCCAGGAGCACGCTGCAGGCAGACTGCAGGCTGGTGTTCCTGGAAAGTGCACTGTAACCAGAGCCAGGACAACCTAAAGAACTGTCACATTGAGAAATTGAAGCTTGTGTTTGTCAAACTTTGTCAGCTGTAAGTTATCCAATTATGATTTTAATTTTTATTTTACATGCATTGCTGTTTTGCCTGCATGGATGTTTGTGTGAGAGTGCTGGATTCCCTGGAACTGGAGTTCGAGGTGGTTGTGAGCTGGGAATTGCACTGAGGTCCCCTGGAGGAGCGGCCAGTGCTTTTACCTGCTGAGCCATCTCTCTGGCCCCATGGTGAAGCTGGCCGTGAGAGCGGGAGACTTCTTGCTGCTGTGTCAACTCAGTTCTTACTTTTTACTTGTCTAGCCAAACTTTTTAAAAAGTGTAAATGGTCTAACCTAGAAGACACATTTATTCACTGACTCTAAAATTCCTCGTGATCATATAGCTAAGACACACATTTACAGTCGTGTATGTAAAGCAGCACTGATCTCTGCAGTTCAAGAACTACCGCTTGGAGCCAAGGTTGACGTCTGTCCTCAACACCACTGTCTCTTGTTGCCTTAGCTGGACTTTGAGTTGTGCAGCAGGTGAAAGTGAAAAGGAAATCACACTTTTAATTATTAAAAACCATTATTTTAGGCTGTTTCATTAAAAAAAAAAAAATCAATGTCATTACAAATAACAAAGCCAGGGTGAGCCTTGCTCCAGATGACAGGGACATCACATCTTAGCCTGAGTTGCGGGGGAGGTGGCTGCCGACCTCCCAGCTGTGTGGCCCTGTCCTTTTGTGTGTTCTCTGTGGACCCTTAACTGCTGTCTGCCACCAGACCCCAACTGCACTCACGCCTTACCACTGTGCCAGCCATGTTAGACAGCCAGAGCACACAGGCAGGCCTGCAGGCTCCCATCACACCTGCTGTGCCCTTCGATGTCTTGACCTGGACACTCTGAGGTAGGGCATCACTGAAGCGATGCTGCAGCCTCACCAAGGGGTTCAGCTTGCATGACTGCCCATGTGTCTGAGACAGGATTTGGCAGACTTCCTCTGTAAAAAGTTAATTTCTTTCTTTGTTTTAAGATAAGAACATGTATGTATGTGTATATTTTAAGATGAGAGTATCAATCCCAGACTGACCTGGGACTCATGGCAATCTCCCTGCCCTAGAGTGCTGAAAACCCAGGCTTAAGCTACCAGGCCTAGCTCACCTTAACTTACAGACATGTGCTTCATTTTTCATCGAATGGCTTACAATCTGGCCATCATTATTTTTTCAGGAATTAGGCTGGTCTCAGATAGTAGGATTACGTTCAAGCTGGATCCCATGTCCTTCACACATGCACCCCTTTTGCTTAGGGATTTTGTTTTCTGACAAGATATTCAGGTTTCTCTGTGGTGAGGACAGTAATGTGTGTCCTGATCTTGTCTCTGTCCATATTGCGCAGGACAACCTTGACATTAAAGGTCTAATCTGCACCTCCCAAGCCACTGCCCCATCCAAGCTGTTTTGTCATGTGGTTTTGGTTGGTTGGTTGGTTGGTTGGTTGGTTGTTGGGGGTGGGTGGGTGGTTGGATGGTTGATTTGCAGTGTTCGAGAATCAAACCCAGGCCCTCACGAGTCCCGCCCTTGACACTTTTGAGACAACATCTTGCTATGAAATTTAGGGTGGCCGTGGCCTTGACATGTAGCCCAGGTTGGCCGCTGCCTGTGGAGTGAGGATGACAGAGCCAGCGCTCTGCAGCCGGATGGGTGCTGCTTTTGCTGGCTGTTCCCCCCCCCCGGGGCTCTCGAAACTTGGGAATGCTTGTCTGAACGTGGGCACACATGTGAGTACACACAGACATTGACATGTACTTCCTGTGCACATAAGAAACAACCCAGATTAGTAATTCTACTTCCGGTGTGCACGGCAGGGTTCCTTCTGATCCCCGATTGCCGGCAATGATTCCCTTTGTCCTCAGAAACAAGCCACAATTGACACTTTTTTTCCTTTTTGGTTTTTCAGGACAGGGTTTCACTGTGTAGCCCTGGCTGTCCTGGAACTCACTTTGTAGACCAGGCTGGCCTTGAACCCACAGTGATCTGCATATCTTTGCTTCCTGAGTGCTGGGATTAAAGGCATGAGCCACCATACCGGACGAGAGTTCTATTCCCCAAACTCACATCGTAAGAGAGAACACTACCAGTGTCCTCAGATCTCCATATGGATGCCATGACACCCCAGTACACAAACACACACACACACAGATTTATCTTTAAAAGATCTTTTAAAGTGATGACTTGGGGCAGTTTTTGCTAAATAGGCATTTTGACATCTCAGCATTAGCAAGGCCATGGTTGCTGGATCTGTGTGCCATTGTTTGCCATATTTATTACGAGAGAGGAAATGAGTTTGTTGCTTTGCTGAAAAGCATGAAAGAAAAGGACTGTGGCACTCCTCCCTGTGAACTGCAGCTCCCTGGGTGGACTCTCATGGCTGGAGAGTGCTGTGGACTGCAGAGCTGGCACGATAGTGGAAGAGAGGCCTTCGCAGCCGGCAGGAGCAGTGCCTCGAGCAGCGGCCACAGTGAGCGTGCACAAACTAGAGCCTGCCTGCCGGGGCGGTCTTTTCCCGCGGTCCTCCCGCCTCCGCTTCCTGGTTCAAGGCCCCTCCCCTCTCCCAGTCACTGCGCAGGAACTGTCACGGCTCCTTTGCAGCCCGGTGTGGAGTGTCCAGCCCAGGAAGGGAGGGCTTATCCAGACATGAGACTCCGAACATCCTTGGCATCTTTCTGAGGAGAAGGGCTTTGAGTCGTGACCGCTCCTCACAGCTGGCTGCCCCATGGGCAGCATTTGAAATAATAGCTAATCACAGGGCTCCACAGCAGAGACTCCACCCTCTTGGCTTCCAAAGAGCCTGTAATTGACTGCAGATGGCCCAGGCAAGATGGGAGGTATGTGTCCCCACTGACTCACACCTCAGAGGACCAAGGGGGTTCCAAAGCTTTGATCTGTCATTGTACTCCTGTAGGGGCAAGGAGGCAGGCTGCTGAGTGGAAGGGAGCAGCAGGGAAGTCTGGGCTTCCCTGGGATCTGAGGCTTTGATGAGCCTGTGGTCTCAGGACAGCAAAAGGCCTGGGGAGGAAGGGACTGGGAAGTTCCCTAAAACCATCTGAAGAGCCTTGATGTGTAAGGTGTCTGTGGCTGTGAGGTCCCAAAAGCTTCCAGAAAGGTTACCTTAGGAGTCATACTGTAGGCTGTATCCTCCGTGTCTGAGGCCTCCAGCCTTTCTCCCCACCACCCACCCCTTGCTCCTTCCCCAGGTGCCTGTGTTTAGTGTAAGTGCCTGTGGCCACACTGCCGTCCTTCCTCTGGGGCTTCGGGATCATGGAAGAGGACAGAGCGCAGCCTCAGAAGCAGGTGGGAGCCATCCCAATAGCCCTGTGCTCAGGAGTCAGAATGAGGCTCTTGTACAGAGCTTAGAACCTGTGCCGGTGAGTCCCTCAACCTGGCTGGCTGTCCCCTCACTGCAGGGCCCCTCCTGCTACCCCACAGATCAGGGTGTCTTGACCATTGCGGTTGTCGCTCTTGGGCCTCTGCATTGGGCCTGGGCTGATGTGGCGGGGAGGCTGTCTGCCGACACCTGGCCAGAGCATCCCAGCTGCTTTCTGGCTGAGAGGGGCCAGCCAGGAAATGACAGGGCTGTCGCCACCTTGCAGTCTTTGCACTCTGCTCCTCTCCCCATCAGGGCCCTGCGCTCACAGCTGATTTGCCCACACAGATGCTGTAGGGTAGGCTTCATGGTCAGTTTTTGGAGCCAGCTTGGCGTCTGGGACCTCAGTTGCCTGAGTCCCCAGGCTGGGGGACTCAGGCTGGGATTGCACAAGTCCTCAGTTACGTCTGGGGTGTGTATTGGGTTAATCTTCGCTTTTTCTCAAGTGCTGTGATCAAACCCAAGGTCTTGCAATGCCGTGTAAGTGCCCCTCGCCGAGCTGCAGCCCCAGCCCTCCTTAGGCGTGTGCAGGGAACAGTCTGCCCTGTCCTTGGAGAGGGTGCTCACCTGCCCTTCCTCGGAAGCCAGCCAGGTGGGTGACACGCCTCCTGGTGTATTGGAGTGGCCAGGGAGACAAGCTGCCTCCCCACCCCAGGAGAGCGCCTCCCCGCAGAGGGGATGCCCAGCCTCTGTTCTTCCCTGCACAGAGGTGTGGTGGGGCGTGGCTACAGCGCACAGTTCTGCAGAGTGAAGGTCTCTGGGATGGTGTTCCGTAATGGGGCCTGACTAGAAGCCCTGCATGCTTATCACTGCTAAGTCCCAGGATGTGGACTTTTGCCGTCTCTGCTGTGCATTGAACTGTGAGGAGGCAGGGGCAGATGTCTTCCCATGGGGATTATAAAAGCAATAGCCGGCTGTTTTCCAGCTTCCTGTGTATTTAAGAGGACATTTAGTTGCTGAGTAAGCATGTCCGGGTTGTCACTGAGCACCAAGGACCCCCGATGGCGCCTGCCCAACAGGCTTTTCTCCAGGGTGTCAGGGAGATGCTCTGTGCCTCCCTGCTCCTTTCTTTGGAGTGTCAGGGAGATGCTCTGCGCCTCCCTGCTCCTTGACCTGTTTTTTAAGCTGTGCTCAGATCCTTCTCACCCTCCCGCTAACCCTCCACGGTTTAAAAATAGCAGCTTTGTCCAGCAAGCCTCGCTTTCTCCAAGGCAACTATTCTGACATCCTTGAAGACCTTCTGAAAAGTTATGTCATTCTTATCTTTTTAAATAGTGAACCATGCTCACTGAAAACAAAACCAAAACAATTAAAAATAAATAAATAAACCAGACATTGTGCCTGAGCAGGAGGATCCTGATTACAAGGCTAGCCTGGCCTTCATAGTGAGATCCTGTTTCAAAAACAACAAAAATTAATTTTAAAAATGCTTCAAACCAAAACTGAAATGTGGAGTGCGTGTGTGTGTGTGTGTGTGTGTGTGTGTGTGTATTGAGACACGGTTTCATATGGTCCAAGCTGGCCTTGAACTCAATTCTCTGCCTAAATGCTGTTAGGTGGACCAGTTAGGCCTCACAAACCCCAGGAGGTGCCGGGACAGGTGCCATCAGGAGCCCCCTGGGCTTTTCCTTGCTGCTCCCGAGCCTCTCCATCCTTCCACTAGGTCTCGGCAGCGGAAGACAAACCTCAGTGACAGTAGGAGGGGAAGAGACAGTTGGGAGAAAGAATGGCGTTTCAGGACTGGAGGGACGGCGGAAGACAAACCTCAGTGACAGTAGGAGGGGAAGAGACAGTTGGGAGAAAGAATGGCGTTTCAGGACTGGAGGGACGACTCAGTGATTGAGAACGCGCCAGCACCCACACTGAGAGGCCCACAGCCACCAGAACTCCAGCTCCGGGGGATCTGGTGCCCGAGTCTGGGTGCACCTGCACTCACGGCATACATTCACACAAGCACGCAACACACACATACCAGGTGGGTGGGATGGCACAGGCCTGTAATCACAGTACTTAGGAAGTAGAGACAGGAGGATGGCCACAATACTGAGGAGAGTCTTGTCTACATAGCTCGTTCTAAGCCAGCGAGGGCCACTTAGCAAGACCCTGTCTCAAAAACTCAGGTGTGTGTATGTGTGTAACTTGTGCTGTGTGTATATGTGTATAATTGTGGTGTGTAACGTGTGCTGTGTGTGTGTGTGTGTGTGTGTAACGTGGTGATAAATGGTGGAAGCGAATACAATCAAGGTGGAAAAGTTGACCTCTGATGTGGCTGAATTCCGTGACTGTGCCGTAGTCCTCCGTCCTAACACAACTGCCTCCCCAGGCTTTGCCGAGTCTCCTGATGTTCCTGGTCTCTGGACAAGCGCCCAAGTCCTGCCTGCTGTGCCGCTGTCTCCCAGAAGAGCTCCCCAAACATACCACAGCAAGAGCCGGCTGCACTTCCTCTGAGCACAGCTGGAAACTGACAGGCATCCTTCCAGCAAAATGGGCTGTTTCTGCATGGTGTGTGTGTGTGCACGAACACACGCATGTGTGTGTTCGTGTAAGAGACAGGGATAAAGGCTGATAAAAGGGAAAACCTAGGTTTTCTGACCAGAGATGTTCGGTTTTCAAACAAAACAAAGAAGAAGAAAAAAAAGCAGTCTCCAGCAGGAGGCCGAGTTTCCAGGACGCAGTTTTCACATGAAGGTGGGCAAAGATGGAGGAAGTTGGTCTTGTCGCTCTAGAAAGCCATTGGCACCTGCACCAAGCGAATCTGGCATCTTAGGGTCTGAGTGCAGGTACCAGAAGGTGGTGCCTACACCCTGGAAGTGGAGGGTTTGTTTCCATGACAACCACCAGCCACAGCAGGTGAGGAGGTGGCTGTCACACCTGTGCGTCAAATTAGCCCCAGACACCTAAGGTGAAGACAGAACTGGCTGCCTGCCGACTCCAGGGGTCAGGAAAAGCAGGGACCCAGAGAACACCAGGGAGTCCCCAGCCCCCAGGGGGCAGAGCCCCAGCCGCAGTGCCTTATAGAAACCTGTCTCAACCGATCAAGGCAGAGCAGCGTGCACACTGCCCGAGACACAGCCATGCTATTTTATTGCTGTAGTGGCACATTTCCAGAATGTGACCAGTCCCTCCTGTTGCCGAGGAGCATTGGGAAGAGAGCCCAGAGGCAGAGGGTTCTGTTTTAGGGCTGGTTGGGGCTGGGCATTCAGAGAGCTTCGGGGACTTAGTCCAGACTGGGGCATGGCAAAGGCCCAAGTCCAGAACAGGACACAGCAGAAAAGTGGCAGCCGTGAGAACTCAGCTGATGAGCTTGTCAGCCAGTGGCCAAAGACCAGGTCAGGTGCGCTCCCTAGAGTCCGTGGACTTGCATTGGGCCTCTACAAATCTGGAAGAGGACTTGAATTATAGTTGGCACTTGTTTCAGTCAGCCAGGAGGAGGGGTGCATGCAGAACCAGCTGCCTGTAAAAGGCAGGAAACAGTGCTCGGTGCTTCACTTCTGCTGGGGATGGTGGCGCATCAGTTTTCTGCGGCCGCCGTAACCAAGAATGCCGGCCGGGCATATTCTCAGCCAGAGCCTTCGGTCTGGCTTCCGTGGTCTCGGAAGCCTGGGCTCTCCTCTGAGGACTTTGGCTTGTAGATGACGTGCCCACCCTTCCACAGTCGTCTCTGTGTGTGTGTCCTGAGCTTGTTTTATGAAGATTGTCTATGGCAGTGCCTCATTTTATCTCTTGTCTTTTGAAGACTGCCTGTGGACGTAGTAATTCTAAGCAGTTTCCTTGGGGGTTAGGATTTCACTGTGGAACAGGCAGGGGACACACAGCTCAGCCCACAGCGCATTCATTCCCTCTTTCATTCCCAGACTGTTAGCCAAATGCAAATCTCAATCTTAAAAAAAAAAAAATGCTGCTGAGAAAGAAGACCACACTTCCTTCCAGAAGAAATGAGCCTGGGGCAGCAAATGTTACCAGAACAGGAAGTGGAGACCTCTACCCATAGTGCTGTCCTGCAGAGCCAGGATCCTACCCCAGCTTGTCCATTCCCCACCCACTGAGCAGATGGGGAAAAGGTCTGCAGTCCTTTCCCAGCCTCGCTGGGAGGAAACTGGGCATGTCTGCAAAAGCCTGAAAGTATTTTGCTCCGGAAAAATCCTCAAGCTTTGTAATAATCAGTTTCATTTGAGACAGAATTTCTGTAGCTCAGGCTGGCCTTAAATTCACAGCAGTCCTCCTGCCCCAGCCTTCCAAGGGCTGGGTTATATAGAGCTACCACATCTGGCTGCAATCAAGAAGTTCCTTATTAGATCATAGAATGCCCAAGCCTGTTTCTGGTGGGATTGGCAGGAGGGGACAAAACAAAGGAAATTAAGATGGTGGCCGTGGCTGTCACGACTGTTCCGTGCGTCCCGCCTTCCCACACTCCAAGGCCAGCTCCTGTGTCTTCAGGCTCTGCAGGGCCTCCCACAGGCAAGGCTGTGAGCTGAGCTTGTGCTGGCTGCTGTGACAGTGGCTTCTTTCTCCTGGAAGGCAGCTTTGGTCCAGATTCCCTCCCCTTGCTCACGGGACCCTCCACCATTCCTGGTTGGGCTCCTGTAGCCTTCCCACACTTTATGAATAGACCTTCATTAATCTCCACAATAGCTCATTTCAGCTTGCCAGCTGTTTCCTCTCAGGCCTGAGCGTCACTGTGTGCTGTGCACAGTAACAGGATTAATGTGAATCTCTTGTCTGAGGAAAAGCAGCTTTGATGAAATACAGTTCCCTACCATGTAATTCTAACTCACCCGTTTAAAGGGTACAGCCGGCTGGAGATGAAGCTCAGCGGTTGAATGCTCTCCTAACACACACTGGGTCCTGGGTTCAATTCTCCGCACTGTTGAATCATTCAGTCAGTCAAACTGAGCATGGTGCTGTATGCCCGTGCCTAGTACTCTGGAGACACTGAAGCAGGAGGATCACGGCAAATTTAAGGCCGTCCGGAGCTACATAGCAAGAACCTGTCTTAAAACA